ATAACTCAATTCTCTGACTGGCATTCTCTATTCTCCACTTACCCACTAGGAAAGGAAAGAGGAAATAGTGAGAAAAATAATGTGAAAATGGAAAAAATAGAGGAGAGATTCAAGGTAAAATCTATAGTTTAAAGAATAAAAAGGTTCACATGAAAAAAAAGTAGAGAACTACCACCTGGGTAATTTAGATTCTCAATCTGCATTCTTTTTTTCCAGCATTTTTGCTAAGAAAGGAGGAAGCTAACTCTTTTTGAAGAAAAAAAAATAACAACAATGAAGACAAAAACAAAATAACACAAAAACAATGAAAATGATACAGGATTTGAAAACAAAATGATAGGAGTTAACAATGGTTGTTATATTACCTATTGTTATCTTCAGCAAATTTGCTCAGATTACCAGATGTAGGAATGTAATATTGATCAAAAAATTAAAGACAATATAAAGTAATGAAAAATTAGAAATGGTACAGAACTTCGCTAAACAAGATGGTAGGAATTCAATGATTGTTATATTGCATATTGTTGTGTCCAAATTAGTTGTTCAGATTATCAGACATAATCATGCAAAATTGGTCAAGAAAAAAAATTTAAGCCTTAACTGTTCCTTTCAATAAATCAATAGATATCAGCAACACAATTATCCCAGCTATTCTTGTATATACATATACAAAAAAAAGAAAGAAGAGAATATATATATATATATACACACACACACATACACATATGTATATATATGTACACACAATGTAGCTAAGCTAATTGTATTACTGATTTCTATTAGTTTATTGAAAGGAACAGTTAATGTGTTGTTTGCTCAATCTTACATGCCTCTATCTGGTTGTCTGTGTAACCACTTTGAAGATAGCAGTTGCCATTGTTAATTGCCTATCACCTTGTTCTTAAATTCTGTATCATTTTTATTGTTTTTATGTAGTTTTGTTTATGTCTTTCATTTTCTTCTCTTTAAAATAAAAAAGTAAGCTAACTTTAACAGTGTTTCCTCAGTAGTTTCAGAGTCACAGGCTGAATAGGTAATCCACCCAAAAAAATTCTTGTGTAGTTTCAAATGCTTCATATAGCTTGTAAAAATCAATGATGTACTGTAGAGAAAGAATTCTTCCTAAGCCTAAATAATGTGGTATGACCTTAGAATAATTTTTCTGCATGTTCTTGGGGTGTGAATTCTCTGTACATACTTAAGATTTTCACTGCTTAAGTAATGAAGTATTAATTAGTATAAATGATGTCAGTTAAGTAGATGTTGGCAAATTAAATGATTTGCACATAAATTAAATGATTTACCTGCATTTAACAGGTAAAATGCATTTCCTAACTGGTAATGTGTTATTCATTAATTCATTCTTTTGCTGAAAACCTGTGCTCTGACCTACACCAGCTGTGCTCTCTTCAAAATACCCTAGGGATGATCTTAGCATTTACGGAAATTTACAAATTAGCTTTTGTTCCATCATTTATAAACATCGTTTTTATTTCCTAATAACATGTTGGAAAAACTGTCATAACTCAATTGACAATTTGAGACAAAAGAAAGCAAATATCATCTAGACATCTTCTTTACTAAATTCTAAATGGAAAACTATTAATAATCACTACCTCTCTTCTCTTTACCAAGATATATTCCCAATGTTTTATCATTTCAATCATCATTAATAATAAAAGTTGAAGAAATAGCAAAAGATCTAGCTTTAAGAAAGTTCCCTAGATCTGTGGGGTATACTAATGATATTTTAATTGGAATTGCATTGAATCTGTACAACAATTTTGGAAGTATAGCCATTTGCACAATGTTGGTTCTTCCTTTCCATGAGCAAGGAATATCTTTCCATTTCTGAAACCCTCTTCTATCTCTTTTTTCAGAGCACTGCAATTTTCGATCTATAAATCATTTACTTCCTTTGTTAGATTGATTCCTAAGTAATTCATTTTTTAGATGCTATTATGAAAGAGGTGGATTCCCTAATTTCTCTCTGTGTGTGTTTGTTGTTTGTGTACAGGGATGCTATTGATTTTTGATATTGACTTTGTATCCAGCTATGCTACTGAATTTGGTTATTAAATCTATAAACCTTTTGCTGGAGGTTTTGGGGTCCTCTATGTAGAGTACCATGTAATCTGTGAATAATGATAATTTCACTTCTTCCTTTCCTATCCTTATTCCTTTTATTTCTCTTGTCTAATTGCTGTGGCTATTATTTCCAGAACAATATTGAATAGGAGTGTTATTTTGTTATTGCTTTTTCATTTTCTTTGAACCAAAAATAAAGTAAAATAAAAAGTCAAAAACATTTCTATACAATTTAGAAATTTGGTTTAATTTAACAAACTTGGAAAACAATAGTACAAAAGATGTAGAACTCTACATTCTAAACTATGAATTTTTGTGTTTTTACCAAAATATTTTTAGTAAGATTACAAACTCAGATATAGCATCATATCTCAGGGTTTTATAGAAAACATTTACTAAAAATATTTAATAAAAAATTTAATAAATGAATGAGTGAAATAATGAATAAATAATATTGTAAGTCAACACAAGAAGTATGTATTTCAACATATAGCAATTGCAATCAAATTTTTCATTAATACATTTAAATCAAAAGGCACACTTTTCAAATTCACATCTAGGTAAGACTTTAGCTTGAAAGATTTTACTAAGATTCAACTAGATTTAAATTTAAAAGCTTGAAATCATCTTACCTCTCTTATTAGTCTATTATTACCCCTAAGTTATATCCCTAAATTCCACTTTTGTGCCCATTTTAAATACCCTTCTATTGCTATCTTTTATGAGCTGTTTAACTTTCAGTAGCGGTAGTATCATTTCCTCCAGATATATTTCCACCAATAATGATCATTCCTCCTTTATTTAATTTGCATATTATTATACTATTGGTTAAAATTAAACGAGTCAGAGTTGTGAGGTGGAACCTCGGAAAGAAGTGAAAAACCACTTTAAGTATCAGCAGAATAGTAGCATTAAAATTTTAAATCTTAAACTTCATTGCACAGCATAAGGTCACTGACTTACAGGAATAGGTAGTGCATTGGTAGATCATCTATACATTCATTACTAGGGAAAGATATTATAAAATATTATGACAATGTTTTGAGGATTCATTGGCATAATTACACAATTCGATTTCTTGATACCTACTCCAATTACAGCACATAAAGTAGTAAGAACTGGTGTCATCCAGAAATTAAAATATATGTACTTGGAAATAGAACTATACATTGCACAGTGGACAAGGCGTAAATTAAATATTTTCACCATTAAATTCCATGAAATAGATTTAACAAAAATCTCACAATTTTTGTAGCACTCTTCTTAAATACTTGTAGTAACCATTTAGGGCTTGAAGGAAATGTAACTGAAAAACAGGATATGAGTTGTGCTTATGTTAAATCAAACAAACCAACAAAAAGCTCCAAGTAGTTCCTACTCCTAGCTCCAGTAGAACATCTATCCTGGTTCCAATGAGCTACTTGAGAAGATCTTACTATTAGTGTTAAGATAGCAAAAGTTATAATCATCATCTTTAAAAGGGTAACTCCACCAAAGGAAAATATTCATCTCTTGTTAGTCTTCCTAATAAAAGATAAATTTATGTGATCTTTGACAAGTTTACTAGACAGACATACATTTCTAAAGTTTTTAATTATTGTGCCAGAATTAGGACAACAGCATGTAAAATGGCTCTCAATTCCTCAGTTGGCTTTTTGAAGAACATCTGTGATACATTATTAATCATTAGGGATCAATATGGATACCAGGCTTTTATGAGAAATATGTTTGCTGGCCTAAATGAATCTTCAAGTGTGTAAACACAGGAATATTTCTACAAGCAAGTTTCTGCTGAATTACATTTTCTCTATGAACATTCTCAGACCACATATATTTTTAGGCAACATACTAAAGGTTTGTTGGGATGGCAGTTTTCACAAAGAAACATTTTTAATTACCTCACAATAGTTATTTTTGCATCTAGCAATTTAATCATAATCTTCATTATGACTAATCAGAATTTATAGATTTTAAGAAACTTTTCACTACTGTAATATTGTCATGAATAAAGTTTTTAAGCATAAAGGATTCCCACAAGAAGAATGTGTACACCTTCTATTGAGGATTAACTGGTTGGAAATGAAAGATAAGTTAGCAAAATTAACAGATTTGAAAATATTTAAGGCTACTGATAAATTCCATAGCGTTGAAGTGAATAAAGAAGTTTTTCTATGCAAGAAATAAAAAAGGAATCACTAAACTAAATTTATGTACCTAACTTAAAATTATAAGCAGCCCCAACTTTACCCATGGATAACGATGTAAAATTGTTTTCTACAGGTATGTGTTTGATTTGATGTATATTTATTTAGTCACAGAGGAGTTTGTCACAAAGTTCCCAGCTGCTCACCAAAGCAGATTTGAGCTTTAGTATAGCAAAATTACATGAATATCAAATAATGGCTTAGGGTATTTTAAAATGTTAAATTCTCTAGTCTGTTTTCCATTCTTTCCTCCTGCTTGGAGTGTGCTCGGCAAATGTCAACACTCTAAACCTCTTAGGGACAAAAATCTAAGCAACAAACTGTCTCCCACCTGTTTGAACACAGGGGCTAGAAGAAAGAAGAGTGTGGGAAATGACCGATAAAGGACCACTGGAAAGCTGCATTAAGGCTCCCAGAATCGGTTCCTTCAAAGGTGTGACAGAGGGAGGTTCGGGAAAGGGGAAGCGGAAGATCTGTAGCAAAAGGCAGAAAAACTTATAAATCACATGTGTCAGTGTAAAAGAAAGAGAAAGAAAACTGCCTTGAGAAAGAAATTATCAAATCCAAGGAGGGTCCTGATGTTTGAGGAAATATTTTCTAGTTCTTTTTTTTACATTATATATTTGAATACTATCAGATAATTTAAAATATGAAAAATTCAAATGAATTTAAATATTTCAGTTATACATGTACGTATTTATTCTGTAGGAACTGCAAGACAACTCACTGGAAGAAAATCTACGTTTAGCTCAAGAGTATCAAAAGTTGCAGATGATTTTCTTAACAGAAAAGGATAATTTCTGCAAAATGTATGGCAAACAGCTATCACTTCATGCTGCAGTTAGTGATAAGAGACAGGTACTGGCTTTTCTAATTCTTTTTTAAACAGGGATTTGTTTAAGTTACATACTATAAAAAGTAGTCTATTTGGGGATCCTTAATGTGATAATGGCTCTCATGCAACAAATAATTGCATGTTTTCTTTCCTTGTTGTATATTTCTTTCAATTTTCTTTGATGTTGTTAGAGATCAAACCCAGGGCCTCACCTATGCTAAGTACATACCAGTGAGCTACATTCCAATTTTTTGAACTTTAACTTTGAGAAAACATTTGAGTAATGAATACTTCAGCTTCAAAATTGCCATTTTATATTAATTTGCTTTTAATTTCCCTGTCCAAAAATTTCCAATTTGTTATAGTTTCCAGACTTAAGATTTGAAATTTAAACTCTAGATGTAGGAGACTTCTCACAATACTCCCTTAAATTTTCCTTTTAATATATGTGTTCCAAATGCTAGGAGGTTAGTTTCTAATTTGAGAGGGTTATTTTCGTAAGATGAGGATTAATTAGAAACTTGGAATAATAAATGACTCGCTTTGGTTACTGGAAGTTTCTTGGAATTCCAAATATATTTTGTAAAATCTTTTGTGATGGTAAAAGTATAAAAGTAAAACGCAATAAACCATGAATGATAAGGAAAGAAAAAGCTGCAATTATAAAAGTGTTAAAATATAGCCACTTGCATATTCTTCAGACAATTAGTGACAAGATAAAATTTTCCTTCACATCTTTGCCCCCCAAATTTGAAATAAAAAAGAGGCATGATGATTTCCTTAATTGTTGATCTAGTCACAACACCCAGCATAGTGGAATTGGAGCTTTTGTGCTATTGTTGCTATCTATATTGCTGCACTGTATACATATACAGTTTAGATCCCACTTCTGTGCTTATATTTCATAATTTTGGAGTATGGGAAGGCAGTAGCCTGGGAGTCGAGTGCAATCTCTGTCGATCACAAGCTCAGCTGTACTGGGAAGTTATTTGCCCTTTACAAGCTCAGTTTTCTTATCATAAAACTAAGATTTGTCTCACAGGGTAATTAGTCAAGAATAAAAAAAAGGCACTCCTATTTAAAGTCACTTTGGAATAAAAGGAGGCTATGCCAGTGTAATTATTACATTCATTGCTATGCTGCTTATCAGCTCCTTATGTTTCTCACCCATCTTCTCAGATGCAAGTTAAAGCTTCCAAATATAGTATACTGAGAAAGAGGATTTATCTTTCTGTTATAAGTTTGTATTGAAATAATTTACGATGAAAGAGATTAAGAAATAAGTGGGCTTGGGAAAGAACCAAAAACACAACCATTTCCCCAAATCTTGCCATTTTTGCTGCAGAGGATTGAGGTAAAATGTGTTTCATGTCTATGGATCATTTTCTCATTCATTTTGTGCATTTGACATCATGACTGAAGTTAAGCTTGTTCTATGTGTGGCTGACAATTAAGAGAAAGAAAATAGTCAATTACCATACTGAACTTACTTTTCTAATCAAGGGGAAAGCAAAAAATAGTATGGACATGTGTTGTAGTTTATACTGAATCATTTAGGGTGAACCACAAATATGTTAGCTACTTGCATAGGTAGTGCAGAATTATGACTTTTTAGAAAAAAAAAAAAAAAAAAAAAACACCGGTTTTAGGAAGAATTCATACAATCGGATTTCCATGGTAAGAACAAAATCATCTTGATCTCGTTTCTTGAATTAAAGCAAAACAACGCAATGTGTAAGGGAGCGTGGCCCAGATATGAGCCGACCTACCATGCAGAATCCTGAGAAACTGGGTTTATGTTTGTGATCCCTCAAACGAATCACTTTAGCACACCTGTTTCAGGGAAACTTTCCAAGATTTATTTGTACTTCCAATCATTTTTCATCTCCATCCTTCAGCGATGGAGGTCATTAAGTGCAGGCTGCCCTTGTCAGTGTCATGTAGGATCAATTTGCTGCAATGGACAGAGAGGCCTTATTGATGCTGTTAAATCTGTCAGTGAGAAATCGTATGTCATTAGCGTCTAATGCACCGCTTACAGGATGGAATTTGGCCATCAAAAGGGAGAAAACCCTTTCATAGCTTAGTCCATTTCCCTGATACTGCAGCATTTGCCATGTACGTAGGTTTTAGTCCTCTGACCCCACCTGGACACACAAAGCACCATGCATTCTCTTACTCCCCAGTTGAAAGCCCCCATCCCACAATAAATTCTTAGGAATTTTGTATCTTTTTTCTCTTTTAAACTAATTTCGTTGTTTCTGAACCAAAACTTTTTTGCATGATACATAATTATTTTTTAATTACTGTACTTCTTAGGGAATATTATTATCTCTAAACAAATTACACATTTTTATACTTTGCAGGTTTAGACCCAGAGAATCAGAGAAAGCGTAGTGGAAAAGGAAAACAAATTAGAATAAGGTCTCTTTCCTTATGACAATTTTAAATATGAAAGATTCAAATGTTAGAATGTTATAGTATTATCAGTGATAATAATGCTATCTTTATTTGCATATGTTTATTTTTTATATTTTTTTACTTTTTAAAGAAGCCTATTAATAACATATGTAGTGCATAATGCTTACATTCCTTTCGGGAAGTTGACACAAGCACATGACATGTCATTGTACCCTTCCCATCCCCTTTCTCTTCTTTCCCTCCCCTTCCACCCATCCCTTGATGCCTTTGTGTTGTTTCCACACGTCTGTTTGCTTTTGTACACATATTTGCAGCACGTACTGTTTATATTCCTTGTCAAGGAAGTGGATCAAGAGATGGAAAGGGGGAAAGAGGGACAGGTTAAGGGGTAGAAAAAGGATTTGTGATTTCTTCTATACATGCATGTGTTTCTTGGCACTTTCTTATACTTTTTAAATTTACAGGGATTGGCATTTTCCCATTTTAAAAATTAGAAAGAGGCAAAAGCAATTATGCAAAATTTTTATTTACCCTGTTCATGGGTAATGATAGAATTGAATCCAATCTAAAACTTCTCAGATGTCAAAATTAAACATAACATTAGAAAGGAATTCAGGAAAAATAAATATTTGAAAAGCAGTTTTTATGTCTATGTAAATATAGACATTATTATCATTGTCATTAAAGGGTTTAAAATACATTTTTACACTTAAAAATATCCATGAGTATTTTTAAGAAATTACAATGTATTCCTTTCAAATACCACTTGCAGTTCTTCAACACACAGAGAAAGTAAGCTAAGCCAGCATGCAAGTGCTGATGTGGTCTGCTGGTAGAAAACAAGATTGTTTCCAAAATTGATTTTTTTTTTTGGTTTGGTTTTTTTTTTTTTTTTTGGTTTTTCTCTGGTACCGGGAACCGAACTCACAACCTTGCGCTTGCCAGGCAGGCACTTTTGCCGCTGAGCTAAATCCCCAGCCCCTCTCCCCAAGTTTTTAAAGCTTGAAAAAAACACATAAACTATACAAGAAGTATGTGGTGTCCAAATGAAACAGATTCTTTGACTATTTTTGTAGTTTTATTCACTGGAGCCACTGTTTCAATAAGTTCTCAGGAGAAAGGACTACCTACTTCATTAGATGAGCTCTAATTTCTATGGGGATTATATATAGGTTTTATAACTCTAAATTATAAAATTTATGAAGTAAAAATATCCTTAGAAACTCTGCCCTCCTGTTTAAAAAGTAACTGGACAGGTGAAGATTCTTGGAAGGCACAGAATGCCTCGGTGATTTATCACATATATAGTTAAAAGAAAAGCCAGTCTGACACAGTTGTTTTCCTAAGTTCAGTTCAAATATTTTCTCCAACAAACTATAGATGAGCATATGCTATAGTTCTTGGAGGTGTGAGTGGACCAATAGCTGAGATGAAGTAGGAGAAACACCCATGGATATGCTTCGATGGGAGCACCATCTTTAAATGAAGTAGGCATGCGAAGGAATCACAGGGGGACAGGAACTGTAGCACTGGTCTGCAGCAGAGTTTGCTGGAGGTCTCCTGGGATGCTTCTCATCTTCACAGAACTCAGGCACTATCCAGGCATTGATTCATTAAGTTATTCAAAATAAATTATTAATCACCTATCGTACTGAGAAAAATACAGTGGAGGGCACAGGGATGCTCCACCTCATCTCTGCTTCCACACTGAAGGCTGTGATCTCAAGTCCAGGAAATTCTTTGCTAGAAAATGGTGTGAAATGAGAGCTCTTCCTCATCCATGGAAGAATAGTAAATTTTGCTGGTTTAATCCACAATGCCTGATCTTTGGGGGTGAACTTTTACCTTAAATTCTCAAAAAATTATATCATCTATAGATTGCATTAGTTTTCTCCTTTCTTCCATCAATTTTCTGACAGTTTTCTCTTATATTTTGACTGGTTTGGTAAGGAGTCAGAGTCAATGCTAGCAATAAACAAAATTATTTTCCCAGAGAAATGTGAAAGCTGTTTTATTTCTCATTTTTAGAAGTATTTCCTATTGCTTGTTACCTTGCATATTAAAATTGTGCTTTGGGTAGTGATTTCTGTGTGCTTGTTCAGTACACATAGAAATTCATTCCTTTCCTAGGAAAATCATAAAAATTTTCAATAGTTTTGCCTAAAACTGCTATTTGAAGATCTCATTATTGTCTCTGCCTCTCTTTATTAAAATGCATGCATACACACACATCACACACACACACACACACACACACACACACACACATTCCTTTGGCCTCTGTTTCTTGGAACACACACATACCTCACGTACTCACATATACATTTATTCTAAAGCAGGTACCACACTTCATACCCTAAGAAACTTCCATTAAAGTCCTCTTGTACCCTTTCTCTGTGGAAGTCTCCTCAAAAGAACTCTCTAAAGAACTTCTGTGATTGTGACACAGGAGCAGAAGGATTGGTAGTCCATTGTTTTAGTGCAGTGACTCTCTTCCATTATCCAGATTTTTGAAGGAAACACTGCAAACGTGGAGTTTATTTCTGGCTAATACTTTCAGGAAGTAAACGTAGCTTAAATCAAGTCAGTTCCTTGATGCAAT